ATGGGTCCCTGTGGGTCCCCGTGGGTCCCAGTGGGTCCCGGCAGGTCCCCATGGGTCCCTATGGGTCCCTATGGTCCCCGCGGGCCTCACGCGTGCGCCGGGCCCGCAGCTCGACTACCGGGAGCTGGTGGCCGCGCTGGACCGGGCCGAGCTGGCGGAGCTGCTGCTGGCGGCGGCCGAGCTGCGCGACCTCTACGTAAGCCCCGCCCCGCGCTGTGACGTCACCGCGACGTCACTGTGAGGTCAGCGCGGCGGCGTCACCCCGCCCCGCCCCGCAGGCCTTCCTGTGCGACCTGCTCCGGAAGAACATGGAGAAGATCCGGAAGCCGCGCGGGGAGGCCAAGGTCATGGTCTACTGAGCAGGAAGCCCCGCCCACCCGCTTCCGGGGCAAGCCCCGCCCCCCCCCCACCCCACCAAGATGGCGGCGCTTCCTGTGCGCCCAACTCCAGTCGGGACTTCCTGCGGGCGCTAGGCCGCACTTCCTGTCCCGCCTGGGTGGAGGGAGGGGGAGACTTCCTGTTTCCTCCCCCACCCAGGGGCGGGACTTCCTGTTCCGGCTCCCCCTTTTCCCCAGATTTGCTGAATTTTAATGGAAAATGACTTTAGGAAAACCGAAATTGTTTAAAATAAAAAAGGGGCTCCTGATTGGTCCCTGGGGGTGCGTTATGTAAATGAGGGTCGGGCCGTGCTCTTCTGGACCAATTGGAGGGGTGGGGCGGGGCCTGGGTGGCTCCTCCCTCCCTCCCTTCCTTCCTCCCCTCCTTCCTTCCTTCCTTCCTCCCTCCCTTCCTCCTCCTCCCTTCCTGTTTCTTTTTGTGCTTTCATTTGAATTTCTTTCTCCTTAAATTTCTCTTTCTCCTTCTCTCCCTCTCCTCTCTTCTCTTTCACCTTCTCATTCTCTTTATCTCTCTATTTATTGTTTTTTTAAAAATTTCCTTATTAGTTTTCTAACTCTCATTCTTTTCTCTTTTTACCCTTTTATCTGTAGTTGCTTTTCCTGCTTTTTCCTCCTTTCCTGTCTCCTCGGGCGGGCTCTCTGGGGAGCTCAGTGGATGTGAACTGTGCGCAGGTCCTCACTGAGCTCCCGCGCCTCCCCAGGGCAGCAGGGACCCCAGCTCTGAGGAGGGCCCCGTTGACCCCAGCCCTTTAACCCCAGCCCATTGATCCCAGCCCGTTAACCCCAGCCCATTGACCCCAGCCTGTCAGCCACAGCCCTTTAACCCCAGCCCGTTAACCCCAGCCCGTTGACCCCAGCCTATCAGCCCCAGCCCGCTAAGCCCAGCCTATCAGCCACAGCCCGTTGACCCCAGCCTATCAGCCCCAGCCCGTTAAGCCCAGCCCATCAGCCCCAGCCCGTTAACCCCAGCCTATCAGCCACAGGCCGTTAACCCCAGCCCATTAACCCCAGCCCATTGACCACAGCCTGTCAGCCACAGCCCGTTAACCCCAGCCTATCACCCCAGCCCTTTGACCCCAGCCCGTTGACCCCAGCCTATCAGCCCCAGCCCGTTAAGCCCAGCCTATCAGCCACAGCCCGTTAACCCCAGCCTATCACCCCAGCCCGTTAACCCCAGCCTATCACCCCAGCCCGTTAAGCCCAGCCTATCAGCCACAGCCCGTTAAGCCCAGCCCATCAGCCCCAGCCCGTTAACCCCAGCCCGCTAAGCCCAGCCTATCAACCACAGCCCGTTAAGCCCAGCCCGTTAAGCCCAGCCTATCAGCCACAGCCCTCTATGCTCTCAGTCCCAGGCCTTTGGACTGAAGCTGTTTCACAGGAGCTGTCTGTCCTAAGCTCTTGGGCATCAAGCCCGACTCCTTTAACCCTGAGCGTTTTAGGGCCAAGCCCTTTTCCCTTCAAACTTCAGACCTTTAGTCCTTGAAGCCCTTAGTCTCAGCCGTTTCTCCTGCAGCCATTTAGCACTGATCCTTGCAGCCGTGAGCCTCGTTGCCTTAGCCTGAGCTAAGCCTTTGCCCTTTGACTGCAAGTCCTTTAGTCCTAGGCCTCCAGCCTTCAGCCTTTTGGCACTGAACACTTGCAGCCCCAAGCCGTTGCCCTCGCTCTTTCTTGGCAGCCTCTTCAGCCCAGCCCTGCTAACACTCAGCCTTTCTTCCTGGCCTTCTCACCCCAACAGTTCAGACTTTTGGCCCTTTAGCACTGCCACTTTAGCCCTTTTCCCCCACCGCTAGACTTAAAGCCGTTCACAGGAGCCATTTAGCCTTAGGACTTTAGCTTTACGCGCTTTAGACATCCTAGTAAGCCATTTAGCCTGAAGCCCTTAAGCCTAAAGACTTTTAGCCCCTTGGCGCTACGCCCTCTAGCCTGGCCCTTTGGACTTAAGGCAAAGTTCTGGACCCTAGTCCTTTAACGCTAACTTTGCCCTTAGCCCTACCCATTTAGTGCTAATAGTAGCTACTAGTAGCACCAAGACATTTAGATCTAAGCCTTTTAGCTTTTCTAGCCTTTGCCCAAGCCCTCGAAGTCTCAGCCCTGGCCATTGAGATGAAACGTCCTTAGCCCTAAGCCTTTTAGGCCTAGCCTCGTAGCCCTAAGCTCTAGCCTTTTAGCACAAAGGCCTTTTCGTTTGGACCATGAGCCTTTTCGCCCTAAGAGGTTTAGCACTACAGGTTTTATGCCTATAGCCTTGAGCCCTTTAGCCCTAGGCCCTTGTCCTAGCCTTTTAATCCTAGCTTTTTAATGCCAGCCCTTTAACCCTAGCCTATTAACCACGGTCATTTAGCCTTTTGGCCATTTAGACCTAAGCCCTTTACCACTAGCCCTGTAGCCTAATGCCACATGGCTTTAGCCCTAAGCTCTAGCCCTTTGCTCGTACCTCTTTAGGCCTTTAGCAATTTAGCCCAAGCCCCTCAGTGCTAAGGCTGAGTACTTGAGGACTTTAGTCCTAGCCCTTTGTGTCTAAATCACGGTTCAAGACCCCAAGTCTTTTAAGCCTAACCCTTGTCCTTTTTTGCTT